GAACAGGGTGTAGCTGGACCTGCCAGGTGTAGGTACAGTGACACCTGTGCTCAGGTGTGTTTGCTGATTGGGACCAACAGCTCCCAGCCAGGATGGCTCTGTTGGAACGAGACAGCTGCATGTAAGACTGAAATTTGGGCTTCTGTCCAAACTGTATTTTTTCTTTTCCCCACAAACTGGAAACCAGTTTAAAAATAAAGGTTTTAACTCTCTTTTTATTCTGTTTTTGTCTTGTAAATTGTTACAAGCGAGATTTAAACTCAAAGTAGCTACAGTTGGAGATCTCTCAAGCTGAAGATCTGCTCACAGGAGCTACACTGGGCCTGCTGCCAATGATCATCATTGCAGAGCTTTTGGATGAATAAATAATTTGACACTGTGTCTGTGTCTGTACAGGAAAAATAAATTAGAGCTGCTCTGGGGGGGGAGAGGGAATAAAATTGTTACTTAAGTGCTGTGTTTGAGTTTTGGGGGAGTAAAAGGTGAGGTTCAGTCAGGCCCATGTTTTGCCTCACTGAGGATGTATCTTCCCAGTCAGATGTCTGGGGCCTCCCTAATAACTAGTGAGCCCAGGCCTGGGACACCACTAATTAAAGCTTTATTTATTCAGTGACAGTAATTAGGGAGGGTAGAGGTGCCTGGCTGGGCCAGCACGTGCTCAGTGAAGCAAACGTAGGACTTAAAAATTTTTGGTCCTGCACTTCCACAATGAGTTCCAATAAATAAACCTTCAGATTTATTGATTGAAACCACGTATTAATTAGCGGTGTGTGCTGCTAAAGGCCTTGGCTGATCGAAGTGACTCCCATTTGCCCCTGAACAAAGCCCTGCCCTGGGTGGTGGGCGGGTCGTGGTCAGCAGGACACGGGCACGGGCCGGGCCAGGCGCTGCCGGAGGTGTTTGGCAAAGTCCACCTGTGTCTGGGACAGGACCTGGTTGATGATGGTCTTGGGCAGCCAGCCCTGGAGAGGAGCAGATACAACCTGTGAGCGGGACCTGCCTCCCCCACGGCCCCTGTTCTCCACCCTGTGCCCTTCCCCGTACCTTGAGGTCGATGCTGAGCAGCCAGGTCAGCCTGGTCCGGGAGGGGCTGCCGGGCAGCGGGCGCAGGACCATGCAGGTGGGACCGTTCTCAGCCCTGGCAGGGGGGAGGGACCGGGTCAGACCCAAAACCCAGACTTCAAGCCTCAAAAATACACTTGGGGGTTTCCTCAGCAGCTCCTGCTGCCCAGACAAACCCAGTGACTGAGCCCCTGCTGAAACCCTCCTGCCCCGTGGGAATCTCCCTCGCTGCACACCCCATGAGGGGACTGAACGGGGGGTTGGTTACCTGACGAACCCCTCCTGCTCCGGCATCGCTCCGTACGTCGTGGACATGCCGGCCAGGACACAGGTGGAGCCGCGTCGCTTGGAGCACCGGACGCTCACAAAGTCCCTGGGCCCAACAATGTTCCCGGGGGTCGGGGCTGCCTTCTCGTGGGTGATCACTGTGTCCTTCCCAATCTTCTCCAGGATCTGTGGTTTGGAGTTAAAACCTCAGTTTGAAGTGTTTAAATGCCAGCGTAGCTAAAAAGCCGCCTTTGGTTACCGGGTGCTCAAACAGAGGATCTGACAAAAACTTGGTGTTTACAAGGAGAAAAATTGCAAATATCTGCTCCACCTCAGGTGCAGAACATGAGTTTTCAGCTCCTGAAAGGAAAGGTGTTTCTCTTACTGCTTCTCTGATTCCAGAGGAGCTGTGGGATAGCCAAATGCTTCCTTGTGCCTCGGGGCTGCTTCTCCTCCGGATCAGCCCAGAGTTACAGCAGAACTGGCTGCTCCTTGCAGGAAAGTGCATTTCCTGCAGAATTAGTCACAGAGAAGCTGCTCCAGACTCTACTGCAGCAACAATACAGTTACTGCACAAAAACCCTCCACATCTGCAGCAGGCAAGGGACAAGATACAGTCACAAAGAACCGCTGAGAATTCCCTGTGCTCCTGCTGTGATGGGCCCTTCCAACGCCACATGGAGCAGGACCCGTGTGAACCCCGACTGTGACACACGTTTCCTACCTTGACTTCTTTGACGTTGGGGTTCCAGTCTCCCATCTGCTCCATGTTGTCCACCAGCTCTCCGTACACTGAGTCCAGGGGCTGGTCCACCACCACCTCCAGCCGGAACACCTTCCCCACGTCCGGCAGCACCTTGCTCAGCACTTTGTCTCCGTTTCCCTGGAGGGGGGACAGCAGGATTAACACCACAGCTGTTGGCAGGAGGAGCGTCAGTGCCACACGGCAGAGCACCCACCGCCACCGTCTCCGTCTTCCAGCCGTCCTGGTCCTCCAGGATTCTGAGGGATTTCTGCAGGGCTTCCTCTCCTTGTTTGATGTAAGACATTTCCATCTCACTGAAGGGCTTCTCCTCCAGCCTCGAGCCTGCCAGGACCAGAAAAAGGCAGGAGTGAGTGCAAGAACAGCACAACATGCCAGATAAGCTTTATCTACACCAAATACCCTTTCCATGCCCAGGGACTGGGGAATTAAACCCACTTCCCACTCTGCTGCTGGTTCAGCCGAAGCACAGCCCACCCACAGGCAGGTTTTCCCCCAGCCACTCCCTGGACCCCGATCTCTGACAGCCTCCCCCCAGCAGGAAGGGACAGACCCCCCTGAGGTGTCACTTACTGAGCAAGGAGCTCCTCCTGCGCACCTGGTGGATCCAGGAGCTGGGTCCTGGGCTGCGGCAGGCGAGTCTGCTCAGCTCCTGGCTGATGGCCACGGCAGCTTGTCTCCTCAGACCTGAGGGGGAGAGCGCATCAGGGGCCTTTCCAGGGGCTTTTTCCCCCAGTTTGAACACACAACACGGAAAAGCCTCTGCTTGTCACCTTTACTGAGTCCCTACAGGCACAGGGAGCAGCCATCACACTGCCCTGGGACAGCCTGTCCTAAGCAATCCCAGGCTTGGCTCCACGTCTGAGCCATGCAGCAGTAAAAATACTGAGGAACATCAGGTGGCCCAGGAAAGAGTATAAGGATAGAAAATCCTCACTGCCAGTGGGAGTGTGACCCAGAGCTGGCCACAGGGGCACGGGCTGTCCCCTCAGACCCCAGAGACGGGTCTGGCAGCAAAAAGGGCAGCGGGGACAGTAAATCACAAACCCAGAAAGCAACATGGCATAGGGTGGGGTGAGGAGAGCGCCTCTGAGCTCGTCCTCCTGCCCGAGAAGGAGTTTAGAAAGCAAAGGAGGGGAGGGTCCTTTCTGCATCCCTTTCTCCCACGAACTCCAGTCTGATAGCGGGGACAGGACCCCACTGCCCCTCCCGCCCCAGGCAGCCCCTCACCGGTCATGTTGCGCAGGTGCCGGTAGGAGATGGCGGCGCAGAGCTTGGACGTGGCTGGGAGCATCTCCTGGGCTGTGGTGGTGGCTGTGCTCGGTGGCTGTGGTGGTGGTTGTGCTCGGTGGCTGTGGTGGTGGTTGTGCTCGGTGTCTGCGGCGAGCGCGGTTCTGCCCCGGCCCCGCCGCCGCGGCCTTAAGTACGTGGGCTGAAGGATTCTGCCCCGTCAGCCGCCAGATAAGAGCCGTCACTCAGGGCAGGGCCCCGCGGGCCAAGGCCACGCCGGGCTCCTCACGCAGCTGAGGGGTCAGCGCCGTGCTGGGACACGGAGCCGGCCCAGGGGGGCACGGTCAACCCTGTCCACGGCTCCACGGCACAGCCACGGGGGCACAGCACCCCTGAGGGACAGCAGAGGGGCAGAGCCCCCCTGCCCAGCTCCTGCCGTGCCAGGGACAGACCCTGCAGCACACGGGTCATCAGTTGTGGGTAATGACGGGTGATAATTAATTCTGACAGGTGTCGGTGGGCAAACATGGAACCACAGAATCAGTAAGGTTGGAAAAGACCTACAAGGTCATCGAGGATGATTGTCATGGATGGATAACAATGGCTAATAACAACAATGGACAACACCATCTCGGGACAGAGCCATCCTGGAATAACCCAGCCAGGCTCAGCCCAACCTCAGCAAATGCTGCACACAAGAACCAGGACAGCCCATATAGAGCTGAATATTAAACATGTTGAGCTGTTGAGCCCGGGCTGGGAGAAAGGGGCAGCCTCGTGCAGCCCCCCTACCCCCGAGCCTGGTTATCTGTCCCAGGGCTGGGAGTGGTGGGCAACAGCAGAGCAGTGATAACACTCAAGGCTGAAATGACATTTCTGGGATGAGTTATGGCCCAAAGACCAGCGCTCCCAGGAACCCGTGAATCACAGCTGCTTCCTTTGACGTCAACCCCTGCACCCTCCTGCAGGGAGCCTGACCTTCCTCCCCGCTGTTGCAACAACTTGGCCCAGGGGGAGGTCACCCCATTGCTGCAAAAGCCCTGGGGAGCCCCTTACCTCCTCCTCCTTGTCCCCAGCCCCCCCTGAGATGATTTGGGTCCCACCTGCCATCCAGAATGTTCCTGCTGCTCCTCAGGATGCTCCTCTCCATCGTCAGGGTCACCATCCTCTGTCATGTGCAGAAAGCCCCTCACATTCACGTCAGCGATGTGCGACCAGACGAAGGTGTTGGAGGGACCAGGAAGAAGCCGGAGGCTGCACCGTCCCCTTCCCAAATGTTTGCTGGGAACTCCTTGCTGCAGCCACTGTCCCACAGCTGCGATTCCCAGGTCGTGCCGCAGCTCTCCCCGCTCTGGGCTTCACCCACCTGCTCCCACCTGCCCGTACGTGGAGTGAGGGAAATTCCAGAGGGTTTGAAATCCCTGAGCTGCTCCCAGGAACTCCCAGCCCAGAGCTCCAGCCAAATGCACAGGAAGCACCCAGAGGTCTGGGTGCCCAGGGAGACCAGAGACCCCCCGATACTGTGCATTACCCACAGCCCCCCTGCTCTGACAGTGAGGGGGACACAGAACCAGGGACCAGAGACCCCCCAGCTGTGAACCACCCAGGACTGTTGTTATCCCAGACCGAGCAGTGGCTCCCGGCACGAGGCCTTGGCACAAGGACACGCGGTTGTTTGTGAGAAGAACCAAAACAGCCCGGGCAGAGCCACCCCTCTGGCTCTGGGCTGGGGGGGCTGGAGGGGCACGAGCCCCTCTCTGCCCCTGGGGAGGGGACATGAGGACAAGTCACACTGTGCCACAGCACACGAGGGAAATGCTCCAGGTGACCCATCCCCAGGGCGCCACAAGGGGACTCCAGAAAGGATTCCAGAACCCTCAGGGGGGTCTGGTGATCTGGGACACACCCAGGACCCTCACCAGCTCCTGATGTGACCTCAGCATCTCCTCTGGATGTCCCTTGAGGTCCCCACGCTGATGCATGCACCGAGCCTGCGAGGGAAAGGAACAGCAGCAGGGGGGCACCGAGGGTGGCCAGGAGGAGCAGCAGCAGTGCCACAGGCACCAGGGATGGGATTGGGGTCCCAGCACCTACTTTGGGCACCAGGAAGGCGCCTCTCCATCAGAACACAGCTGGCCTGGCCGGCTGAGCCCACCGAGCTCCAGCAGCGGGGCAGGACAAGGCTCTGGCCAAAGCTCGGACCTGCCTGGACCCAGCCGGCCCCTCGGCTGAGTCCTGCTCTTCTGGGGACAGGGCTGGGGGCACGGGCAGCACGTGGCCATGTCCCGCGTGCCAGCAAGGGGATGCCTGGGAAACCAGCACAGCCCCACCCCGGGATGGGCACCCAGCACCCCCCACCCACATCCCGCAGGGCAAGGAGGAGGGAGAACATGCTGGGGGAGGTAAAACACCTGAGAAAGCCCCCACAGCCCCCCCGAAATGCCCCTCAAGTTCCTCCACAAAGTCACCACGCAGCTCTGTTTGCAGCTTTTCGCTTAAAAAATGTACAACAGGGCTCGAGGTACAAATATTCACAAATGTACAAAATTTACAAAACTGGATCAACGCTGACCAAAGGTGCCAGAGATTCACCAGGGACTGAAGAGATGGGGGGCCCAGGAACCCTGAGGCTGCCCGGAGCTGCCTCGTGAGGATGGGGGGAGCCCCTCACCCCCCCTTGCCCAGCCATCTTCGAGAAAATTCCACTCTCCCAGCCCGCTTCCCATGGCAGTGGCCGGAGCAGGGGAGGCCGTGCTTCTCTGGAGGGAAGCTCTGTCGGGGTGACCCCGTCCCTCCTGCTGCAGCACGGCCGGGGGGGCCGGGGTGTCCCCCCACTCCAAGGCTGCCCGTGTTGCTATTTGGAGAGTGCAGAGAAACCGCAGCCCCTCCCCGATGCCCGCAGAGGTCACGCTCTGACCCGGCGATAAGATAATGGGCTCAAAAGCAGCAGAAACAGGTCTGTGCCCTGGCCCCCTCCCCTGGCAGTGGGGAGGGGAGCTGGTGGGAGGTGGTCCTGCAGTGGAAGCCCCCAGGAACAGGCTGGAGGGGTGGGGAGTTGGCAGGGTTGGGGTCAAGGCAGCTTCCACCCCTCTGCCCCCATCGCCCCCTGCCCACACACATCAGTCCGTGCCAGCGTCCCCCTCCCCTCCGTGAGCATCCCTGGAGCCCCCGGCCCTGGCACTGCTCTGGGATAACCCTGAGAGGGCACACGGGGGCCGGGGGCCCCCCGAGGGGTCAAGATGGTGCCGGTGCTGGTGCCTGGCAGGAGGATTTGGCCGCAGGAGGGTGTGAGTTCACAGCAGCCGGGCTGGGGAGGTGGACAGAGGTGCCAATGGTGTAGTCAGCCGGCTGCAAAGAACAGTCAGACAGATGGTGGGCAGTGAGCCAGGGTGGCCTCGGGGAGACCCCAGGGCACCCCAGCCCCCCAAAACACGCCCCTGTCCCTTACGTGTCGGCGGAAGAGCCGCTGCAAAAGGCTGCGCTTGGGGGGCTCGGGCAGCCGCTGCCAGTCCAGGTCGGGGGAGCGGGTCCCGCTGGGCCCAAACACGTTGAGGTCCTTGAAACACTCGGTCTCGATCATCTGGGGGGGTCAGGTCACCGCAGGGTTGGGCACTGGCAGCACCACAGCTGGGTGGGACCCCTCTGGTGCACCACGCCCCCAGTACCTCGTTCTGCCAGGGGATGGAGACGCTGCCCGTGGCGAATTTGGCGTAGAAATCACTGTCGGTTTGGTCCAAGTTGACGCCCTTCACCGTGGAGAACTGCTCGATGTCCAGCACGTCCTTGCAATAAACCGCCCGAGGCTGCAGGGCCCGGGGCTGTCAGGGGGGCAGTGGGGGGAGCAGGGCTGTCCCCCCTCCATGGGTGCCCACCCCTGCCCGGCCCTTACGTCCGGCACGAAGGGGGGGGTCATGATTCCGGCCTCCAGCCGCTTGAAGTTGATGGTCCTGAAGAAGGGATGTTGCTTCACCTCGGCCGCCCCGCCGGCCCCGCAGCCCAGCCGCACCCCGGGGTCCTTGGCCAGGAGCTGGGGAGGGGAAGGGGGGTGTCACAGCAGGGATGGGCCCGGCCTGGCCCCCATGGGGACTCCTGGGTCCCCAGCTCACCAACTTGCAGATGGCCTGAGCGTCCTCGCTGAACTTGTCCGAGTAGAGCTCCTGCTCCTCCTGCACCCGCTTCTCCACCTCCTCCCGCTTCACCCGCTCCTTACGGGCGCGGAAGGGCGACTGCCCCTCGATCATCTCGTACACCAGGCAGCCCAGGCCCCACCAGTCGGGGCTGAAGGTGTAGCGCTCGTTGCTGATCACCTCCGGGGCTGTGGGGCACAGTCCCCAGCTGTCAGCACCCGGGCACGGTGCCGCACAAGGACCCTGGCCCAGCCCACCGGTGCAGCCCTCACACTCACCCATGTAGCCGACGGTGCCCACGCGGCCGCGGATGGTCTCACCCTCAGGGATCTTGACAGCCAGCCCCAGGTCAGAGATCCTGATGTGGCCTGGGGCAGGGAGGGAGCATTATCCCAGGGAAGGGTCACCTCACATCCCAGCACATCCCCCCAGGGCACAGCCAGGCACCCCCTGGATCACACAGAGACCCATCCCCACGCCACGAGCACGGGCAGGGCCACACCCAGCAGCTCCCTCCTCACCATTGTCATCCAGCAGGATATTCTCCGGCTTCAGGTCCCTGTGGGGACAGAGGGGTGGCTCAGCCTCGTGCAGAGGGGTGGCTCAGCACCTGCTGCCCCATGCCCAGCTCACCTGTAGACGATGCCCTCCTGGTGCAGGTGCTGGAGCCCACAGCAGATCTCTGCTGCGTAGAAGGCCACGCGCTTGTCCTCAAAGCCCGGGTTCCCCATGTTGTAGATGTGGAACTTGAGGTCTCCCCCGTTCATGATGGTCAGCACCAGGCACAGAGCATCCTTCGTCTCGTAGGCATAGGCCAGGCTCACCTGTGTGCCCACCTGGGCCGTCAGCACCAGCCCCGGTCCCCCCAGGCCCCCGGGAGGGTCCCACACGCACCACGAACCGGCTGTTGACCTTCTCCAGGATCTGCTTCTCGTTCAGGGCCATCGCCTCCCCTTTCCGCTTCTTGATCCGCTTCTTCTCCAGTTTCTTGCAGGCATACATCTTGCCCGTGGCCCGCACCTGGCAGGCGCACACCTGGGGGGCCGGGGACAGCGGTGGGATGAGCCCCCCTGTCCCATCCACCCCCCCAGCCCTCCCTGCTCCGTGGCCATACCTCTCCGAACCCGCCCTTGCCCAGGATCCGGTACTGCCGGAAGGTGTCCTTGGTGACAGCCTGCCTGGAATGCACAGCCCCAGCCGGACACGTCAGCCCCGCGCCCTCCGGGGCCCCCAACACCCCTCAGAGCCCTCACCTCTCCAGGTACTTCCACTGCAGGAACCGGTCGAAGTACATGCTGGCCCGGTAGTCAGCAAAGGGGTCCCCACTCAGGAACTGGTGCAGGGGGCTGTGGGGAGAGGGGGCTGTCGGTGCCACTGCAGACCCCTGTCCCCCAGCCCTGGGCAGGGTGCTCACCGCAGGCAGCTGCTGAACAGGTCCTTGCAGGGGCTCTTCTGCAGGTCCTGCAGGTACTCACTGGCGTGGGGGTGGCCCACCTCAGGCAGGGAATCTGGGGACTGCCAAGGGGAGCAGAGGGATCACACCCACACCCTGGGGACATCGCTCCTGCACCCCACCAGTGATCCCATCATCTCATCCTGGTCACTTCCTGGTGGGGGAAAAGCCCCCCCCAGGACTCACCTCCTGCCTGAGGAACCGCTGGATGATCTCTTCCCCCATCTCCTTCCGCTTCTCATCTGGGGAGAGTTCGTACTCCTCCTGGGACGCCCGAGGAGAAGAGAGTGCTGCAGACAGGGCACCAGGCACAGCTCTGGTGTGACCCCACCGAGCCTCCCCACCTCCCAAAATGAGGCAGGTCTGCCCTGGCCATGGGGCAAGGGATCCCGCCCTGCTCCTCCCCTATGGGCACCACTCACAGCAGGCACACCTGGGACCGCTCCTCAGCCACAGCCCTGGGGTCACACTGAACCCGCCACAGGGCTCAGCCCAACCCCAAACACCTCAGTGCATCCCGAGCATCCCGAGGGTCCCTCACCACGGCGTCCAGGAAGCGGATGCAGCGCAGGAGCTCCGGCCGCGTCTCACAGAACTGCCGGAAGAGCAGGCGGCCGATGGGCTGCCGCTGGCACAGGCTGCCGTAGTCCTGCTCTGCAGGGGAAGGCAGGAGCTGCCACGGGAGCTGCCCAGCACACTGCCCAGCACACTGCCCGGCTGTGCCAGGACCTGCGAGCTGGTTCTGCCGGCTCCCGGTGCCCTCCCGGCTCACCCAGGCCCTTCCGCAGCTCGTCGCACTGGTTGATGTGCGGGAACCGCAGGATCTCCCTCCACTTCTTGCTCCGGCCTTTCCTCTTGCTGCCACCTCCTGCAGCCGGGAACGAGGGGCCAAGGTCGTGCTGGCAGGATGGGCATTGCTGCTCTGGGCCACCAGTGATGAGGGAAACGGGGTGGCAGAGCCCCTGCCCGGTCCTGCAGAGTCACCTGGTTTGGGGGTTCCCTGATCCCACCGCTCGTGGCCCCCAAAACCCATCGCTCACACACCACACGCTGCCAGCACTGCTTTGGGTACTGCTAAAGCCACATGGGAAAACAGACCCCCAGCCCCAGAGTGGGCTCTGACCCTTCAGGGACCCTGATTCTGAACAGCCAAGGGGATCCCCACCCAGTCCTGACTCTCAGGGCAGGGAGGGGATCCCCCTTGGCATCATCTGGCGCCAGGGGAGGCCGAGCCTGGCATGTGCAGGATTCCTCCTGCACAGTGTTGCTCCCTCCTGTCAACATCTGGCTTCCTTATTCCCCCATCCTCGGCGATGGGAACTCTGCAGGGACACAGAGGGGGCAGAGGGATGGCCCCCCACCAGCCACCACTCCCTCCTGGGTGGACACTTGGTGTGTGAAGTCATCCCTGCAGGGACCTGACATCAGCACGGCCCTGAGCTGGTGCCCGGCCAGCACCACCCGCCGCCGGCCCCGGTGACGCCGAGGCGAGCCCGCGGTGCTGGGCTCCGGGCAGAGCTTCCTGCCGTCATCGCCGGCTTCCTCCAGCAGGAATCGCCCCGCGCCAGCCAGCGGAGCGGCCTCGGGAGTGAGAGGGCCCTGGGCCCCCTGCTCACCCTGACACAGGGGCACAGGGTCCTGAGGAAGAGGAGTAGCCGCCCCTCTTGGCCTGCGGTGCCCAGGCTGGAGCCCCCCGGGCTCCTGGCAAAGGGGTGATACCCAGGCAAGGACCTTCCACCTGCCCCAGGAGCCATCCTGGCATGGCAGGCCAGGCTGACCCAACCTCACAGGGATGCTGGGTGGGATGCTCCTGGGATGGACCTCATTGGGCCCCCTGTGCCTTCCAGCACCTTCCACGACGGTCTGTGACCTCGAGCATGGGGATCCCCAGCCATGGCTGTGGGGTCTCAGCTTTTCAGTGAGGAGGCTCCAATCCTCCTCACTGCTCCAATCCCCACCCAGCCGGGACCCAGCCCTTGTCCCAGCCCTGGTCTCGCTCCACGTCACCTCTCACACCGTCACACACCGACATTAACCCATTTGGTGCCCATGACAGCAGAGCCACCCTCGCTCCAAATTCTCCTTCTCCAGCACCAGCTCCGTTGAGGCCCTGGCTCATGCAGGAGCTGTCAAGCATCCCATGGGACAGGAGCAGCCCCGAGCAGGAGCATCGCTGGGATCGCCCACGGTTGCTTCAAACTGCTGACGACAAACCTCTCCCTCCCTGGTGAGAACAGCAGCACCACTCCAGCCCCGGCACATGGGCCGTCCCCGCGGCACCCCCGGCACTGCCGGGAGCGACAGGATGGGGGTAAGGAGCCCTTTGGGATACAGGGACATACAGGACCAAACCCTGGCCCCCAGTTGTCCCGCAGGGCAGCGCCAGCAGTTCCAGGGCCGTTCACTTTTCGGTCAGGAAGGTTCAGTGACGAGGGCGCCGGCTTCCCAAAGGAAACCAAAAGCAAACAAAGGCTCCCTGGGAGCCCGTGCCAAGTCCCGCTCCGGAGGGGCGCGACGCCCGCAGCTCCTCGTCCCGGCGGCCGCAGGGCTCGCACCAGGACGGCACCGCCGGCACCTCCCGGCGAGGCCGAGTTCGTCCTGGCAGTGCCCGTTTGGCTCCGGCCTGCACCGAACCGTCCCGGCACCGGCGAAGTTTGGCTGGTGCGAGCCCCGTCCGTGCCAGGCTCGTCCCACCGGCACGGACACACGGACAGAGCGGCTCCCGGCCACCCCTGCACACGCACCCCTGGGGGAACGGCACTAAATCGCCTTTTACGCTCCCTGCTCCCGTCCCCGGGTTTGCGGGCGGGTGGGACGGACGGACAGACACGTCCCAGCGCACCGGGCACAGCTCCGGGGCAGCCGGTCCCTCCGGGGGCTCGGCGATGCCACCCGGGACGAGCCCACCCGGCACCCGCCGTCCCGACCGAGGGGTCCCGAGGTGCCCGCGGAGGGGTGCGGGGGGGGTGCCCCGGGCCGGGGGTGCCTGTTGGGAGGGGGTCGCGGGGAGGGCACCGGGCTGCAGCCTGGGAACGGGGAGTGGGACGGGGAGCAGGGACCAGGTGCCGGTACCTTCCCGTGCCTTGAGCAGGACGGTGTTGGCCACGATGTTCTCCAGCTCCATGGTGCGGGGGTCCCCGCACACCATGCCCGGCGCGGTCCGGGCGCCTCCCGCCGCCACCGGCCGCCTCCGGGGCTGCGTCACCGCCGTGACGTCACGGGCCGCCCCCGGCGTCACGGGATTATGTAAAGGGACAACGGGAGCGACCCCGCGCCTCGGGGGTCCCCCCGACACCCCAGTCGGGGGTCCGGCCGCACCAACTCCTCGCACCATCCACCTCGGGCTGGAGGCACCGAACCCGAGACTACCGGCACCAGCGCAGCCTTTCTCCTCCTCCTCTGCTTCCCACCCTCCAGCAACGAGACCCCAGGGCGCTGGGAGGGGGAGTCCCGACCTATCCAGGTCCCAAAAAACCATCCCCTCCCGCCGGGGATTTTCCAGCCGCAGGAGCCACCTCCAGCTCCATAAAGGCTTTTTTTTTTTTTAGCATTTCCTTGTTTACACCTTTGCCACCTCCAAACCCACAACACCCACTCAAGCGAGTGGGCCCCACAGGGGCGACACGTTTCCCCCCAAAGCGAGTGGGCCCCAGGCCAGCAAGGGGGAAGCAGTGCTGGCCACGTTGGCTGTTGGCTCTCCAGGACAGCTCTGCTCAGCCCCAGCAAGAGGAGCTGGGCTTGTCCTGCACAGAAACCAGCCACTTCGGAAGACAAAACCCAGCACAGACTCTTCCCCCCAGAGAACTTCCCCACTGCCCAGGAAAGTGGTCTGAGCTTCCACAGGGATTGTCCCTGCCGAGGTTTGCCCTTCCCTGCCCACACACAGGAGGCTCCCAGGGCCTGGCAGCTGCCCAAAGCCAACCCTGACCCAACGTCACAGCCAAGGACTCTCCTACCTCCGGCAGCACCGGGACACGCTCGGGGCAAAGGACGTTCCAACCTGAGGCAGCTGCGCCGGCTCCACCAGAGCACTGAGGTGAGGAGGGGCTGCTGCCCCTGGTGTGGCAGCTCTTCATCAGCAGGTAATTAGTGGGCTCAGCTGCAGGGGAGCAGCACAGCCTGGCTGGGGGGTGCTGGTAATCTTTGTTGGGGTACAGGGGGTGCCCAGGTTCTTTTCCCCATCCCAGAGGGAAGGATCTCGCCTTTCCTTGGAGCAAGCCCACTCCCCCTGCACAGCACCCGGCAGGGACATGAGTTGAGACAAGAGGTGCTCGTCTTGAGAGAGGGGGGACCAGAACACTGGAAAACCAGTGATGCCAGGATCAAGGATTTATTTACACTTTAAGGAAAACTCTCGCCCAGAGTCACATGAGGAGGAAAAAGCAAACAAACCCAAAGAGCAGCGATTTGCCTCCCAAACACAAACGCTCGCTCCCAGCCGTTGTGCCAGACCTCATCTCCTTCTCTGCAAGGAGACTAAAGGCATGATTTGTGTACAGAAAATACAATCTGAAAATAAAGGCCGCCTTTCCAAGGAGCTCTGTCCCTGCACAGGCGGATCAGGAGCCCCGGAGGGGCAGCAGCTCTAGTACTCGTCCAGCGTGTCCGCCCGCGGCACCGACAGGCCCCGCTCCTTCAGCGCCTGCACCTTCAGCTTCTCCGACTCCTGCTTGGCCTGCAGCTCCACCCGCTGCTCCTCCAGGATCTCCTCAATGGACACCTGCTGCAGAGGTGTGTCGCTCTCCTTCTCCAGGTCCTGCGGGAGAAATGACCTGTTGAGCTCTGCCCAGCACCCCGGACCGCAGGACACCTGTGCCCACACACCTTCCACAGGTGCCATCAAAGGGGGGAGGTGACGGAAAACAGAGGTGCTGGAGGCATCCCGAGGAGTGGGAACATGGGCAGGGACCCCCAGGCCAGCAGCCACTAATGACACCCTCCAGCAATGCCACACAGAAGCTGGAGCTTCCCTGCAGCTCCCCCACATTGCTCTTCATCCTTCACGTCATCAGCTACAGGAGACACCTCTGCCCTCTGCACCCTGGGAGCATTTCTGTGATGGTTCAGCCTGAACTGGCCCTGGGAGGGGGCTTAAATTCCAGCCCCCCAGTAGGACAGTGACTGTATTTCTCAGCAGACAGAGAGACCACAAATGCCCCCAGCTCAGTCCCAGGCTGCTGCATGAGCTGTTCACTTACAATTTCCCCCAGCAGAACCACGTTCTCGCCCCTCACGACAAAGATGCCCCGAGGGATGTCCCCATACTTCTTGCCCACGTGGATGCGCTCCACAGTCTGGTGCAACACCAAGTTTGCTACAGCGACGAGAGAGACACAAAACCATCCACATTTCGCTGTGATTTCCGGCTGCACCGAGTGTCCCGTCCCACCAGGCAGAGCCCCCCGGGCGGTGATGGTGCTCTCCCACCACTCGGTGGGTGCTCTGAGCCGCGCCCCCGAAGGCACCGACCGTCTCCCCAGCTCTCTCCACCTCGGCAGCTCCCGCCCTCAGCTCCCACAGCCGTGCGGGCAGGGCGGGGAGAGTGCTCAGACCCCCGGGCTGAGCCCACCTGAGACCCTCGTGCCTTCGGCAGCGGAGAAGACGGCGGGCGTTGTTGGTGCTGCAGGTTCTTGGCAAGGAGCGAGCGATGGGCTGGAGCGCGAACATCACCCGGGCTATTTCTGCCCAAACAGCGATGCCAGAGCATCAGCGCTGGACACAATCACGGGGGGGGGCTCCCGGTTCTGGGAGAAGCACCGAGCGACACACAGGCGGGTGTTTGACCCGCAGCACGAACACGCTCTAAAAACGCACCGCGGAACCCTCTTCTTCCTCCTCCTCCTCCTCCTCCTCCTCCCTGCCCGGGACCGGCCCCAGGGGGTGCCCGCAGCCCCCCGCAGCCCCCGGCCCGGCCGTACCGAACTGGTCGATGCTGCGCAGGTACCCGATGAGCGTCCGCCCGTCCCGCAGCAGCACCAGGTGCTTCTCTGCGGGGGAAACGAGAGCGGGGCGTCGGTCCCGGCCCCGAGACAGCGCGGGGGGACCGGAGCCCACGGGGGGACCGGAGCCCACGGGGGGACCGGAGCCCACGGGGGGCGTCTCCCCGCGGGGAGAGGGGTCGGGGCGGCCCGCGGGGGGCAGGACCGCGGGCGCACTCACTGTCG